ACTGGCAGTGTTTTTGATGACTGTTTCTGCCTGGAGGAGAGGAAGGTGGTGGGGAAAGGGCCTGGTCCCTCCCAGCCTCAGCCCCGTGTGCTGTCGGACCTCGGGGCAGACCATGGTGGGATGCTGTGTGCTGGTTCCTGGGCAGTCCCACGTATGGCTTGCTGGGTCTCCTTCGTACTGGTGAACTGGGAGCTGGGATGGAGGGAGGGATGGCCACTACCCCCTGTGCCAGGGATCGCCAAGCTGTTGGGCTTTTAGCCTGCTTGCAAAATGGCCCGTTTTGTTTCATTCTCTCCTAGCTGTGGCTCTCCCGGGCTCGCAGCGAACGCGGGAGCTGCACCTCTTGTCCCCTGGAGCGTGTCTCAGGTGATGAAGGTCGGTGGCATGGCAGTGGATGGCCGTCAGCCCCAAAGCCCTCTGCTCCTTCCTCGGCCTCCAGCAGGAGCTGCGTCTTGCTCCTGGAGCTGATGGCATGGCTGCGGGCCGGCAGCCACGCTCCGGGGCACATCCCGGGCGCTGACGGAAAGGACCTGGCTGGAGGAGAGCTGCTGTGCCCGGGGCTGGCAGCGAGGGGCTCGGGGTAGCCTGCCCGAGGCTTCCTGCTGGTCCCGCCATCGCTGAGAGCTGCAGCCCAGCTCCTCGTGTCCCCCCCGAGCCAGCAGCACATCCTGGACCCGGGCAGATGTGTGTGAATCCTGGAGCTACTTGTGACATCACAGAGTAAATACATGGTGGAAAATTGCTCTGTCACACAGCTGAGAGCGATGGCCACAGGGTGCTCTGTGCATGGCCGCCATCCCCCGGCACCAACTGGTGAGCACAAACAGCCTCCCAGGCCGGGAAAGCATTTGATGCTGTCCCGCCAGACATCCTTGTCTCTAAATTGGAGAGATGTGGGTTTACCGGCTGGACTGCTCAGTGGATAAGGAATTAGCTGGGTGGTCACACTCAGAGAGTCACGGTCAGCGGCTCGATGCCCGTGGGAGCAGTGACGAGTGCCGTTCCTCAGGCATCGGTACTGGCACTGGGGCTGGTCAGTGTCTTTGTCGGGGACAGGGACAGTGGGATTGAGGGCACCCTCAGCAACTTTGCCAATGACACTGAGCTGAGTGGTGCGGTGACACCCCTGAGGGAGGGGATGGCGTCCAGAGGGACCGGGATGGGCTGAGAGGTGGCCCCGTGTGAAGGTGACGGGGCTGAGCCAGGCCAAGCGCAGGGTCCTGCTGCGGGGTGGGGGCAGCCCCCGGTCCCGGCACAGGCTGGGGATGGAGGGATGGAGAGCAGCCCTGCCCAGA